CCCGCCGCCGCCTCATCGTGCCGCCTCCCCTCTGCTGCTGCTGCTCTCTCCTCTTCCTGGAGCCTTCGCAGTTCCCCCCGCTGCCGCTGCTCCCACTCGCCATCAAAACCCTAACTCTACCCCATCGCACCACCCTACCCCGCCGTGCCATGGACTCCCCGGGCTCCTACATCACCTGCTTGTTGAACCCCTTCGCCGGCCCCGAGCCCTCCGCCATCGTCATCCGTGACCTCAACATCGAGGCCCGGGATCCCATCCGCCACGACAGCTCTAGCACCTCGAACTATGCGTGGAAGACCTACTTCAGCCTCATCTTCCGTGAGTACTATCTCACCAAGCACATCGATGGCTCCGTGGATGACGAGTACATGAAGGGCGACCCAAAGTGGTCCGCCATCGAGGCCACGCTCATCCCATGGTTTTATAAAACCGTCTCAAAGGACATCTTCCACACGGTTTTCACTGAGGACGACGATGCTTGCGTCGTGTGGACCAAGATCAACACGCTCTTCACCGACAACAAACTTCAGCGCCTTGTTTTCTTGCAGCGGGAGTTCTTTGGAACCTCAAAAATCCTACCAAAATAGGACGTCCTAAACAATTTGTTTATTGAACAGAAGCAAAAAGAATCAATGCAAAAGCTCATTTCTGGGATTTATTGAATTTTTTCTTGTGAGCGCAAAGTTTCTGTTTTTCAGCAGAATCAAATCAACTCATATCATAGGTTATCCTATAGGTTCTACTTGGCACAAACACTAAATAAGACATGAAAACACATCTAAACAGAAAGTAGATGCAAAATTTATTACTAAACAAGAACAAAAACAAGAAACACAAAGAAAATTGGGTTGCCTCCCAACTAGCGCTATCGTTTAACGCCCCTAGCTAGGCATAAAAGCGAAGATAGATCTAAGTAGTGCCATCTTTGGCACTTGATTCATAGGTAGACCGCATGATAGATTCATAAGGTAATTTAACTTTCTTTCTTGGAAAGTGCTCCATGCCTTTCTTTAAAGGAAATTGGGATCTAATATTCCCTTCCTTCATATCAATAATCGCACCAATCATTCTAAGAAAAGGTCTACCAAGAATAATAGGGCAAGAAAGATTGCAATCTATATCAAGAACGATAAAATCAACGGGCACCAAATTTCTATTAGCAATAATTAGAACATCATTGATTCTTCCCATAGGCTTTTTAATGGTGTAATCCGCAAGGTGAAAATTTAAAGAGCAATCATCAAGATCATGGAAACCTAGAATATCACATAAAGTTTTCGAAATCGTGGAAACACTAGCACCCAAATCACACAAGGAAAAACACTCATAATCTTTAATTTTA